AATTATGATAGACAAGTTTTATTACAGAATTGCTTTCTACTGAAGTATCTAAAATATGCTCTTATTTCAGGAAGTTGTTAGAGTACAAGAGCATACAATTCTTCCTGTTCCCTGTCGGCCCAAACCCATGTACACACACAGGCTCACGCAGTATCCTGTGTCGGAAGCATAGCCTTCAACAGGTCATGTACATTTTAAAGGGAACAATACCTTTCAGATGTATTTATAAATGAATGAGTCTGCTGTCTGCTTTTTAATCTTTTCTCTCACCTTTTTGTTACAACCCTCTGACACAGGTTGGTTTTACTCTCTATTAAATGTTGACAACATTTGACCTGTGTTTCCTAGTAACTCTCCATTCTTTTAACACCAGTTCCTATTTTTCTTTTTGACTTTGGCTGCATTTCTGTGCTTTGGTAACTAAAGCAACACTCACTGGGCTGTGACTGCAGCTTTCTCACCCATAGTCTTCTCGCAGTTTATGTTGTCAGCTGAGCAGCCCAGAGGTTCAAGTTCAACTTCTTCTACCCTGAAATTTTCAGCCCCACCACTCATATTTAATACTGTTAACAAATAATCTAAATTTTAAAAGGTTCAGAAGTTTAGTATTGAGAGGTATTTGGTTATCTTTGCAAAGTCTGAGAGAAATGTCTATGTATGCTTAAACTTTTTTTTTGAACAAAAAGAAATTGCCATTTTATATTTTTTCCATTTTCTCTTCCATGGTAACTTGTTAAGACCTTCTATAATTTTATTTTTAAAGGGACTATTCAATAATTATATTTCACTTCATAATATTGGTTTAAATTTATACATGGGTATATCACATATAATCTGAACACTAATACAAGTTATAATATGAACACCAATACAAGTTATAATATGAACATCAATACATGTTTTTAGATTCAGAAATTTATTATATTTTAAATACTTCACTAAGCTATTCAACACCCACACACCATGTGAATACTGGAAATACAAGAGATAATTTAACAATAAGTAAATTATTGTGGTAGCTTCCATTGTAAGAATCATCAATTTATCTGCTCTGCACCCTAGCAGCCTTAAATGTTTTAAACTTATGAAATAATAGTTGCCATAGTTTTATCAGGTAGTCTTTTAAAATATTATGATCATTTCCATCCACAGCTCATTCTCAATAATTATTCTTAAATATCAGTGTGAATCATTGAAGAATTTAAGCAAGAATAATATAATTAGCTAAATTATTCCTATGACATGCTAAGGGATGAATCAGAGAAAAGGGATACATGTGCATGGCAAGGAGAAATTTTAGGGGGGAGGGAGAGAGAGAGAGAGAGCTTTTAGAAAGGAATCTGCATCTAACAATGACTGGTTAATCCAAAATATAGGTGCCTGCCTAGGAGATGCCTTAACCTTTTTAAAATTTATAATATCAAAGGAAGATTAACAAATAATATCAAATACGCTGTCAGTATTCTTCATTGACTTGGGAGAAGCAATATATATGATCAGTTAGGAACAGAATACTCTGGCAACATTTTAAAGTTTCCTGTTCTCTTCCCCTTGCTGGAATCACAAGAGAATTTTCTCTGATCATTGGGAGATTCTCAATCACAAAACTGTCCTTCTCATTCTTCCCCTGTGAAAGAGTCTTCTTGGATTTTTAAACTCTCAGACTCTGTCTACCGGAAGGAAAGGTCCAGCAATTTGTCAAGTACACTTTAAGAGAGCTTCTTTTCCAGTACTGGCTCCCCTGGAGGTTTGTGTTAATCAGTGTCTGCACCTGCTTGTTGCTGTTGCCTGTAAGCTCCGCACCCAGGGAGGAAGGATTTGTGCTATGACAGGACTTTTCTCACAGGTCCAATATTTGTTGAAGTTTTGATTTTTCCATTTTTTTTTCTTTTGGTTAGGATAAAGTGATGTCTTCCAAGCTCTTTATATACCTGACTGCAAAGTGAATATCCATCCTTTTATTTTTAGTCAGTTATGGTGACTCATTGGAGCTACTGCATCTGAATGGAATTTAAATGGGAAGGCAAGATTAGTCAGATTGAAAAAGTAAAACATGATGGAATTTGTCAGTAATACAGAACATGTAGTAGTGAAAACACAAGAAATGTTTAAGGTAAAAGGATTAGAAGGAATAAATGGAAGCTGCAAGCATATGAATTTGTTCATGTTAAAAAATAATCCTCATTTATCAAACCACTTACTGTGACATATTACTAGATTCCAGCATCCATTTCATTGATCTCTACCAGCATTTGAACAAAGTTAAAAACATCAAAAAGCTAATAATTTATGATAGATATGTGACAGCTATAAAATTTAATTTTGAAATTATAATATCTAGCAAATCATTGATTTCATGATTATGCAAATGCATATTCATTAAGTTGGTGATAGAACTAGGAATTAAACCAAAGACTTCTCATTTTGAGTCTCTATTTTAATTTAAAATGACGTATTAGTATTTGTGAATTTTAAATATATGTTTAGTGAGCTACATAAAGTTGTTTTTCTGGAATTTGAAATAAAGTTATCAATTCTGTTCCAATTTTGACTTCCTAAATAGATTATTATTTATCAAATGAGGGTTAATTATTAACAGAATATTTTTCACTTCATAATCTCAAATACTCTATTGATTTTTGTAAGGTTAACTTTATAATTATTTGAATGTAATTTGAGAGATTTAATTGGAAAAAGTGTAAGAATTTAGCCCATATTAAATGAATCAATGAAACAGCCATATGGAATTAATTATATAATAGTTTTAAAACTTAATTTTAAACAATGACTCATAGTATGTAGCAATTTAGCATTCCCTGGAAACCCAAGGATTATCTTAACCACAATGCTCATTTAACAAGAAGTCACTGCAGAATAAAACACTCACTTTAGCACAGATTTCCATTTTTCCAAAATATAATGAGTAATACTCCCCACTATGTTAATTTAGTTTGCTCGTTTAATCATCAAGTACGTAATTATATTTCCAAGTCAACAGATCTGAACTAATTTTGGTAGTGGCACAGCTAGAAATAGCATGCACAAAAGACAAAACTAAATCCAGAAATGAGGACCAGGCATGCCCTCTTGGAGTGGATTGGCCATGTGCCCCACTTTTCCTATTTTAGTGCTCTTTTATCCACCAAACATTCTGCTGGTTGCCTGGGCTGCAAATGAAATGCACAATAGTAAAGTAAGTCTTGCAAGGGCAATCTTGAAATAGCAGATTTTCTTACTAGTACTTTATATCCAGCTGTGGCATCTAAAAGAAACTGAACACAGTTGCTAATTGGGCTGGGTGAATACCTGCACATAGGACCCTTTGGTGTCTGTAGTTGCAAGCATGTGTAACTTCATTAACAGCTGCTTGTTCATAGCATTTTTGATAAAATGGTGTGAAGGTCTTTTAAAATGACACTTAAGAACAAATTTCTACCTAATGAAAAATTTTTTGTCTTCATTTAGAACAGATCTTAGAATAGGCTATTTGAATTTATTTTCTTGGGATTTCTAAGATAATGTAGGTGATTTGTTTTTGCATTAGAAATAGGATAATGGTGACAACTAAGCTTTGGAAGACATGGAAACTGTAAGTTAATATTATCCACCAGTGTTTTCAGAAAGTCTTTGTGTAATGACTTTATGTAATGTAATGACATTATGTAATGACATTATAATAAATATCTAGGCATAACTCACGAGAAATTAAAATACAATACTGAATACATGACTGAGGAAATTTTCTCTAGGGGAAAAAACATTTAAACAGTGTTCTATTTACATAGCTTGCTGGAAAGGTACTGCTTGCCTAAGAAATCTGTTAATTTGTTGTGCCTTTAAAGTAGAAGGACATGGAATAAATGACTTTTATTTCTCAGAGGACGTTAAGGTTTTGTGCCAATACATAAAAATCTAAAGTAGGATTTGTATTGGAGAGTGACAAACTAGCTGTTATGCATATTGAAGAATTAGGTTTGTCACTTTGCTTTCACTATGTAATATGACATAAAAAATGTAGGGATTTAAGACAACTGTAATTTATTCTGTGTTCTATAGATTGGTAATTAGTATTGGATTCACATAGACAATTTTTTTTCTTACCTAGGCTAGGTATGGCTGATCTTGCCCATGTAGCTTTGCTGGATTGGTTAACTGTTGAATAAGATTCACTCATTTATAAAGGCTGCAGTTAGGAATGCTGAGATGATTGAGACCTCTTTCCAGCAGAACAGCCAGGGGTTATTTATGGGGAAGGTTATACAGTGACTATAACAGTCAAAAGATAGGTTCCTATATAGAAGCCCTTAATATCAGCTTGCTTCACACTGCTACCTCCAAGGCAGGTTGCATAGTGGAATCTAGAAAGTGTATAGGAGGACCTAAGCAAGAACATGGTCATGGAAGAGAGAGAGGTCATCACTTCAATTAGTCTCCTGCAGTGGTCTATGATTTAGGATGAGCATAAGAGCTTCATTCCACAGGACCAAAACAACCTGAGCCCTAAGCAGAGATAGGCATACATATATTCACCATAAAAGTACAGAAAATTTATTTGTGAAATAGTATCATAATATTTTTATTTATGTTTCTGCCCACTCTGCAGTGAAACAATTTCACTAATTCTCCCAAATTTCAACAAAACGTTTTAGGCTTTTTCCCTTTTCTTTGCACAATGACACTTTGTTAGTGGGTGCTCTGACAAAATTAATGAGCTGTGATGGTATCCATTATGGGAAATATTGAAGCAAAAAATGAATAAAGACATTTGAAGCCAGTATGAAAAGGAAAGTCTGAAAATTCACCATGAACAAGAAGTTTGGGTCAGAAGTGCTTAGAAAAACCAGGATTTTCATAAACTTTTGGAGATGGTAGAATTATGATAATTTCCCTTCTGAAAGTGGACTGAGTATTTAATAATATTAAGGGATAATCTTTTTCAAGTACTAAATCCTTTGTGTATTAGTTTATTTAATCTTCAAAATATTCTTATGCAGACTGCCATGGCTACCCTAAGCAGGAAGGACAGCAACAGTCAAGCGGTTTACCTTCTAGAGGCTGACAATGCTTTCTCAGTGGAGGACACAGCCATAGAGAAAGACTGCCAGCCTACCAAGATGAAATGTCTTGAAGGCCCACATTTATGCCAAAGGCCAGGCAAGTTCTGTGGCCCCTTGATTCCTAAGGAAGAAAAGAAAAACAAAGTGGCAGAGGAGAAGGATTTAGATCCATATTTGGTCACAGACCCCGATGAAGAAGAGAATGATCTTGGGGATCTAGCTGCACTTGACACCACTCATTACATGCAGAGAGGTCTATTCAGCTCTCCTGGAGACAAGACCCCTGGTGTGCTGGGGATGTCACCTGCCTCCTTGCACTTTCTGTGGCAGCCTATATTTCCCAACACCAGCTCTCCAGCTCAGCATTTTGGACCTCAACAGCCCCTGCTAGACTCATCTCTCTTCTGCAACCCACTGCCCTCATGGCCTTCTAGGGTCTGTCATCTGACCCAGCTCCACCCTCCTCACCAAAGGATCCTACAGCAGGAACAGAGTCAAACACCAAGTTCCTCAGCCAAGAAGACTTGGTTTCAGCAGCCAAACCCTTATGCTAACCTCATGACCCAAAAAGAGAAGGACTGGGTAATAAAAGTGCTGATGGCTCAGCTGCAAAGCAAGAGCCCCCATCTGGATGACTATTACTATCAGAAATATTATGAGAAGCTAGAGAAGAAGGCAGATGAAGAACTACATGGACAAAGGAACAGGGTTCAGTCTCCTAAGTTGGTGACACCTTATGTTCAGAAGGCAGAGACTTAAGAATCAGTGGCTCATATTGAGGTTTCCCTGGGCCAGGTAGCTGTATCAACATGTTTTAGTCCTCGCCAAGCTATTGATGCTGTATCTCATGGAACTCAAGAGCAGAATCCAGCAGAGGCAAACAGTCAGAAGCTTCAGGTATTATGCAAGATTGAGAGGATGTTCCTTCAGTTACTAGAGATAGAGGAGGGCCAGAAGGATGGACTTCCACAGCCCTGCCACTTTGGGCAGCAGAACAACCAGGTTGAGAAGCTCTTCCAAGCCTTAAAGACCCAGGAGCAGAACAACCTAGAGGAGATAGCAGATAGCTTCCTGCAGGTGCTCTCTGTGAGCAAGGGGAAAACCTTGGTGGCCCGGCCACTGCCCTTTCTGCTACCTGATCAGGCTGTTAGCCTTCTTCTGGTTATTACCCAGCATCTGCCCCTCCTGATCCGGAGGGATGTGACTGACCAGGCCCTACACATGTTATTCAAGCCTCTGGGAAAATATATCAGTCATTTGACCTTCCATAAACTCCTCTAAGGGCTTCAGGGGCTACTGTTGCTACCACCTCGCTCCGCAGAGCACCCGGTCATTGTCGTACTTCAGAACCAGTTTGGAATATCTTTGCTATATGCCCTGCTGAGTCATGGGGAGCAGCTGGTGTCCCTGGATTCTTCCCTAAAGGAACCCAACAGGGACCACACAGCTTGGACAGACATGGTAGTTCTGGTTCCCCGGGAGATAGCTCGAATGCCTACAGCCTCTCTGGCAGAACCCCTAGCCTTCCCTAGCAACCTGCTGCCCCTGTTCTGTCATCTCATGGACAAACAACTGGTTCAGCGGCTGAAGGCCAGAATGGAGGTTGTCTTATCTACTGATCAGTTTGTTTTGGAATACCTCTACTGGTATGTAGGAGGCTTAATCATCGACAAAAAGTTGTATGAGTGCTCTACATCAATCCAGATAGTCTGAAGATATTTCTCATGCCTTGGGATATTGGAAAGCTCTGCCTCAAATATTTTCATTTCCTTTCTTAAAATATAAATGTTCCTAAAAGCATGGATTAATAAGATAATTAAAAAGGTAATCAAGTGAAAAAAATTCTTATGCAGTGTACTTTATTGTTATTCCTCATTATGTGAAAGACAAAATGAAGTGAGTGTAAAATTTTGTGATCTCTAAATGATTGTCTATAAGACAGGTAGATGACAAACTGTTGAGAAAATAGAAATAGATTTTCCATTGACATTAAACTCTTAGCTGTCCTATTTATGAACTATTGTGGAAAATGAAAAATAAAAAATAATTTGATGATTTAGATAAATGAAGTTGATAAAGATTGCAATAAGATTGTTTAAACTTTTGAGGAAATCTTATTTTTAATTCTGTATTTTGGAATCTATTTAAAGCTAACATATCTTTAATATTTCTCTAATCATTGCTTATTTTTCTTCTGTTTACATATTTGATGTTTACTATGACTCAAAAGTTGTGCTTTCTTCACTTTTCCTAAAGTTTTGGAAGGCAATCTTTCTTTGTAACAATCTTGTTGATTTACCCTCACTTACTTTATATATGTGTACTTAAGCCATTTTATTTTAATATAACATAAAGCAAAACTGTAAGCTGTACACTGCTTTGTTTCATTAACTGACCTTGATTCTTTATAAGTTATAATTTGCTTTCTGAGGAATCACTGAACTATCTATTTTTACCAAAAAAATTTTATGTGTTTCCTTCATTTCCTCATTTTTATTCATGATCTAGAGAGAATATGTGCCATATTATTTTAACATTAAGTAAAATGTAACTATTCTTCTCAAAGGCCAAAAGACTTGGACAGTTGAATCTATTGATCCTGGATTACTCTAGAGTCCTTGAGACACCACTTCCTAGTACAGAATAAAGCAGTTGTTCCCATTAGTGAAATTCAGGTAATAACAGCTTAAGTGGCGTGTGTAGACTGCCATAACAAAATGTCACGGACTGGATATCTTAAACAATCCTCTTATTCAGTTCTAAAGGCTGAAGTTTGAGATGAAAGTGCTCCGATTTGGTTTCATCTGAGACCTCTCTCTGGTTTGCCTATGGTTGACTTGCTTTTGTGTATGCACACTCTTGGAGTCTCTTCCTTTAAAAGGATGCCAGCTCTACTGGATTAGGGCCCATCCTACAACCTCATTAAACTGTAATTATGTTTTAAAAGTCCTAGCTAAAAATACAGTTATATTGGTGCCAAAGTTTTAACCTATGATTTGATGGGACGCACTTTATTGCATAAAACCACATTGTGAGGACTTATAAAATCCATAGTGTGATAACAAAAACCTAGAACTACTCAAGACACATTACCATTATTATGCAATTATTAAATAGAATTGTTCACATAGCAAATCATCAATGCTCTCTCAAATACAGATCACATTTATAAATTACATGGTAATATATAATTACTTATAAAGAATGCATCATAGAAACAACACACAAAATGCATGGGTTAGCATGTAGGAGAAAATATTTGAGGAAAAAGGACAGAAAGACTACCTGGAAAATACTTTTAAATGTGTTTTGAAGTGAAGGAGTAGGGTTATCTTCTCCTTGTTCTCAAAAGCAGAGTTTGAATAATTTGGTGGATGTACCAAGTAGGGACATTATGATTCAATATGTAAAAAGCAAATCTTGCCAATTAGTGAGTAGGTTTCTTTAAAAAAAACCAGTGGGATTTCCAATCTCAGTATATTTTAAGCAATGAGTGGACTTCACTTTCTAGGATGTGATTGGAAGGTAAGTTTTTCTCAATGACTTTGAAGGTCAATTCGTTCCAGGTCTCACTGATCTAAGTTGATTTAATATTTGCATTTTCTCAGGAAGATTTTTCCGTACAGTGTAGGAAAGAAAAGTTCAGAATTTGAAGGAAAGAAGTAATTTTAAGTGAAAATTGATATAGTTACTTAGATAAAAGAATGTTGTTAGAGAAATAAAAAAAAAAACAAGTGGTCATTGTAAGGCAATGTGGGGTGTGAGTGGTGTGGGTGTGGGAGACAGAGAGCTGAAGGGACACATTGGGAGGTGGGGTTACCTAGCATGAGGTCATTTGGAATGATGCAGCACATAGACAGAGATGTTTTTGAACGCAATCTAAATTGAGTCAAGCTTAGCAATTGCCTGTAATTTGTTTGAGAGACTCTTTATCACAAATTCTTTGAAATTGGATTGAGTATTATGATTAACTAGACATAATGGATTTTTGATAGGACCTACAGGATAATTGGCCGAGAGTATAATTCTGAGATATCAGTGATCAACAGGGCTCAGGAAAAAAAAATTTTCTTTTCAAGAACAAATTGAAACCACAATGAAGTCTATACATATTTATTGTCTTGATGTAGGTTGAAGCTCTTCAGAAGGCTGGATATCCTTTGATTTCTCTAGGAGAAGTTTAAAATTCTCTAGGGGAAATTGAAATACAAGTTTTTCTGAAATTAACACATTCTGTGTAATGCTTATTTTTTTAACCTTGATTATTTTAATGTAATATCAGTTTTATGTTTAAAGGCTTAAATTTGGTAAAAAATGTAAAATAAAAAATGTGAAATAATTTTATTCTACAAAAACAAGATGTTGCCCCTCTTTTTTCATGGCTAATATCATTCCAATGATCTCATTCCAATTTTTCTCTTGATTAATTTTCACACATTATTAGGCACAGTTAAGATAGTTTGTATTGCAAGAACAAACTGGAAATTCAGGAATGAACTCCATGTGCTTTTATTGCTCACATTGTACTTGGATTTAGTGTCTCTCCTTGAAATCCCTCCTCATTTGGAAATTCTCAATATCCTTAATGTTGCTATCAATTTTAGGGTGTTTGCTTCTCAAATACTGGCTCCTTAGTATTATGACAGAGGAAATTTTGAGCCCAAGCCTCCACATGCTGAATATTCCCTTAGATATGTCATCTTCCAGAACTTTATTACAGAGTCACAACCTAACTGCAAGCACCAGAGCTGAAAACTCTATAGTGTTGTTTTGTGACCAGGAAGGAAATTAAATAAGAATTGGTAAAACATACAGCATGGTCTCCCTTATGATATGTCAAATATTCTGAGAAACAAGGAGAGAGGAGATCAAACAGAACTTCTTTGATGAGTGATCTCAAGTGGGAGAGGATGATAAAGGACCAAGTTTACCAAGTTGTAGCAGAAACTAAAATTAAGGAAATATGTACTAATGAGAATTCAGCAACAACCTCAGTTTTGTAAACCAGAAAGGGGAGAATTAATGGCTTATTAAAATTGAGGTGCCAGAGCACTTCTTACAGAATGATGTAGGGCCTAAATTCCTAGAGGGACAAGGAACACATGTGCTGAAGGATGATGTGTAGGAGAGTCAACAGTGGGAGATTTTATTAATTTTCAAAGATGCATTTGATGCTCTCCCTGAAGTGAGATTATTCATTTCCACGTTTGTACTCTGAAATGGAAGTATAATTTGTTTTGACCAAAGAAATATGAATGCAAGTGACAGGTTTACTTCCAGGTAGGTTTAGAGACAAAGCAGGGTCTTTCATGAAGTGTTTTCCCCATTCAATGAAGATGAAATCCTTTTTTTTTTTAGATACAGATGTTTTAAGTGACTGAAATGACCCGATTCTTCTTAGTACAAAGTAAGCTCGCAGGGTAAACTAGAAACAATCTTTATAATTTTAAGCCTTTGGTAATTTCAGGACAGCTTTTTCCCTCCTGATTGGGAAAGAAATTGAGTAAAGAAATGGGGACCTGATGTACCAGAAAACTACATTATGTGTTTTGTAATCTAATAGTGCACAGGAAGTTCATTATTGAATACTAGAAAATATATTATGAAAAATAAAAAGTTTCAGTTAAACATCTCCTTACATAACTTGGAAGTTTGAGGAGATATTAAACAAATAAAAGAATCCAAATCTCACAAAAATCTGATAAGCCCAGCATTAATTCCTACTGTAACTGTTCTATAGACACAGTAGCTATGCAGATATGGACAAAGGATTCTGGAGTAAGGGACATAAAGTTGATACACACATATAAGTCTGTTTATCTCATTGACTGTTATTATTCCAAGCACCCAGCAAATGCCTGGAATGTATTACTGTTTTCATAAGTGTTGCACATTTCCAATTTGTAAAATTCCTTTTTCTAGAGAAGGAGAGAAACAATAAATAAAATAATGCTGCCCGTTATTAGGTGTTATGATTGTTATTCACCTTTTTTCTTCCAAACATTTTTACTGTTTACTTTTTTTACCAATAGAAATAAGAGAAAGACAGAAAAACAGAGATACAGAGAGAGAGACACAGAGAGAGGCAGAGATACAGAGAAATACAGAAAAAAAGGAACTTCATATATGCAGTTCTTTTTTACATTATTTTACCAAATTTTATTTACAAAGTAAAACTTTTACTTTATTCCAACATTTTCTTCAGAGGTAGACTTTGTTTTTATTTCAATGAGTTCTTCTACTCGAGCTAGAACACTTTCAATCAAATCAAATGTGAAAAGAGCTGAATGTAGGACCTTAAACTGCATTTCAGGAGGCATATTGGGGATCCCTTCTCTACCTACTGTTACAGAACAAAGGTCCTTAGACTTTTGAACTACTTGGTTATTTTCTTGGCTATTTTTAATTTCTGCTTCATAGTGTGGTTTTGACATATTAAGTCCTATATGAAGTGGCTTTAAGAAATTATTCTCAATCTTTCCAAGTTCTGTCCACAATCTAGTTTGATTGTCATTTTCATTATCTTTGATAACCAAAAACCTCAATAAGTTCAGTGCAGCCATAATCCTATCTGAGTTTTGTAGTAAATTTATTTTAACAACCTCTGGGAGAAACAGTACCAAATCTAAAAGAGAAATCAGCTGTGGTCCTGTAAACCATTTGTTAGGCGTTTTCTTAAATGACATATCAATTTGATTTTTGATATTTTGAAT